AAATGCTAGCACAGCAGAAACTCTTCTAGAAAACAAAAGGGTAAAATCCTCACCATACTGTTTTCCGTTATTTGTTTTAGAACCGAATTCAGCAGGTGCAATCTTGAATAGCTAACATGTCCTCTTGAAGCAAAGATTCAAATTTGGCACCTTGAAAGTTCTTTCCGGTGTCAGTCTTTCTCCCCAGCACAACCCTCCTGAACATATTTGTTTCACTAATCCAAAAGAAAATTAAACTGGAAGTAGAAATCTTGGGAGGCCTCCAGAGTTCAATTCATATGTCTTTGCAGATGTACATTGTTTTTGTCCTTGGAAATCTTTCTGATACTCAGAAAAAAAAACAAAAAACTGATGTATGCATTTTAAGCAAAGTCATTTACAAATGAAAATCCCACTTGAAAACCAGTGGCATAATTGATTAACTATTATAACTGCCCACTGCTTCTGCTTCCTATATCAATAGGGACCCTTTCCAACTGACAAGCACTTTGAAATACACTCAACTCCAGTAGACTCAATAAGAAATAATACCAGAGAGTTCACTTGGTTCTAAACTGTAATTAAAAAAAAAAAAAAAAAAAAAAATTTTTAGTTGTAGATGGACACAATACCTTTATTTATTTATTTTTAAAATACTTTTTTAGTTGTTGATAGGCCTTTATTTCATTTATTTACTTATATGTGGTGCTGAGAATCGAACCCAGTGCCTCACATGTGCTAGGCAAGCGCTCTACCACTGAGCCACAACCCCAGCCCTAAACTGTCATTTTAAACAAAGAAGACTTGGGCACCTTGGCACACACCTGTAATCCCAGCAACTTGAGGGCTGAGGCAGGAGGATCCCAAGTTTGAGGTCAGCCTCAGCAACTTAGCAAGAGCCTGTCTCAAAATAAAAAAGAAAAAGGGATGGGGATATAGCTCAGTGGTTAAGCGCCCCTGGATTCAATACCCAATTTCCCCCCTCCCCAATTTTTATTTAAAAAGATAATAAAACAAAGAACATTTACAGCATCATTTAGATGTACCCAAAGTAGAGACAAAGTCTCCCTTCCCCCTCTTTCTCCCTATGAACTGCATCCGCCTACATCTGTCCAACTAGCTACAGAGCCACCATGTATACAGCAATTCCTGTACCCACAGGCAGGACAAAGAGACTTCCAAGCCCCTCCTAAAATGGCTGCAAGAATAAACAGGTATTCTAGGAGTTCCTGCAGGACAAGAACCACCCTTGCACAATTAAAAACAAAAACATAAATACATAAAATAAAATACAGCAGAGGCCTAGAGGATTCATTCATTAGGTATTACTGTGACAAGACTGGGTGTCCCCATAGCACAAAAGTTAATAACTAGAATCAACAAATGGGACTTACTCAAACTAAAAAGTTTTTTCTCAGCAAAAGAAACAATAAGAGAGGTAAATAGGGAGCCTACATCCTGGGAACAAATCTTTACTCCTCACACTTCAGATAGAGCCCTAATATCCAGAGTATACAAAGAACTCAAAAAATTAGACAATAAGAGAACAAACAACCCAATCAACAAATGGGCCAAGGACCTGAACAGACACTTCTCAGAGGAGGACATACAGTCAATCAACAAGTACATGAAAAAATGCTCAACATCTCTAGCTGTCAGAGAAATGCAAATCAAAACCACCCTAAGATACCATCTCACTCCAGTAAGATTGGCAGCCATTAGGAAGTCAAACAACAACAAGTGCTGGCGAGGATGTGGGGAAAAGGGTACACTTGTACATTGCTGGTGGGACTGCAGATTGGTGCAGCCAATTTGGAAAGCAGTATGGAGATTTCTTGGAAAGCTGGGAATGGAGCCACCATTTGACCCAGCTATTCCCCTTCTCGGTCTATTCCCTAAAGACCTAAAAAGAGCATGCTACAGGGACACTGCTACATCGATGTTCATAGCAGCACAGTTCACAATAGCAAGACTGTGGAACCAACCTAGATGCCCTTCAATAGACGAATGGATAAAAAAAATGTGGCATTTATACACAATGGAGTATTACTCTGCATTAAAAAATGACAAAATCATAGAATTTACAGGGAAATGGATGGCATTAGAGCAGATTATGCTAAGTGAAGCTAGCCAATCCCTAAAAAACAAATGCCAAATGTCTTCTTTGATATAAGGAAAGTAACTAAGAACAGAGTAGGGACGAAGAACAGGAGAAGATTAACATTTAACAGGGATGAGAGGTGGGAGGGAAAGGGAGAGAGAAGGGAAATTGCATGGTAATGGAAGGAGACCCTCAGGGTTATACAGTGGAGGGGGTAGAGAGAGAGGAGGGGAGGGGAGGGGAGAGGTGGGGAGGGGGGAGGGTGGATGATGGGAAAGGCAGCGGAGCACAACAGACACTAGTATGGCAATTTGTAAATCAATGGATGTGTAACTGAGGTGAATCTGCAATCTGTGTATGGGGTGAAGGTGGGAGTTCATAACCCACTTGAATCAAAGTGTGGAATATGATATGTCAAGAAATTTGTAATGTTTTGAACAACCCACAATAAAAAATTAAAAAAAAAAAAAAAGAAAAAAAAAAAAGACTGGGTGTCCAGTGGAGTGGCACTTCTCTTTCTGCAACAAACTAGTTTCTCTCATTTATAAAATAAGAGAATATGGTTTTTTTTCTGATAGGATTCTACTCACAGTGGATTCCGGCCCAATCTCTACTACTGTTTAATATGGAAATTTTACCAGAATCTAAATTGTACAGGTTGCACCTGTACGATTTATAGAAACTTACAATTATTTTCTCAATTCTGCTCAATGTGCAACTGTTTTATAAGCAAACAGTCACCTAAAAAGAGCAGCTGCTAGCATCCTAACTGGGATTTTTTTTTTTCTTTTCTTTTTTTTTTTTTTAGCAATATGGCAATTCCATTGGGAGCAATCTTATGACTTGAACATTATTCTTTTAATCATCTTCTCTACTCATTGACAGTAAAACAATGAATGGCCTATCATCTATCTCAGGATCATGGAAATTTTTATTCTGTTCAGCAAGTCTTTAACTTTCAAAAAGACACCTGTTTCAGACAGAATGGCTGATCTTCTCAAAGATGCATTATTCATAAACCCTGCTCTTTAGCTCAACTGCCTCCTAGCTACCGGGATATTTACGCAAGACTATTTGCAGTATAAGTCTCTGGCTGTGGGACTGGAGTACTTAGCACAGAAACCCACTTTCCTCTCACTGCCTCCAGCCAAAAGGAACACCAATGAAAAGTAATGAACTATCCTCTGCCTACAATCTCCCTCACCGTGCCTTCTACTGCACTCTTATCAGACTAGGGATACTTGACACACACACACAATAAATTCCTTCTCTTCTAAGTTAGAAGTGGTACCAAACACATTCAGGTGTTGAAGAAGGCAATGTCAGAGGGAGCTGAGGAGTCTAAATGCTGCTAAAAGTGATAAAAATCCACAGGGGCACTGACACTCATGAAGATGTTTATAGAAACATAAGGGATCACATTAAGATGTACACAATATCTCCTAGAAAACTTTTTTCCAGGACGACCTGGAAATTCACTGAGGTAACTGCTATGAGGGGTTACCAAGTCACAAGAACAAGAATGAATCACCATTTTGCCTCTTGTCTTTTCAAGATACCAGCACAGAAACCCTAGGGGGGATGAGGAAAAAACCGCAGGGAGGCTGCACTGTGCTAAACTTGAGAAAGTACCACTAAGGAACAACCATCTGTGACTCTTGCATCCCACTACTGTCTATCTTGCTAACATAACGCACCATACATATTTGAACCGAAATAGTAAAAGCAGTCCATGCCCAATCTATAAGCCACTTAAAAACGTTTTTAAGTGAAGCAGCAAAAACTGATTCTAAGTGGCTTTGATACATCTGGACAAGCCACTGTAATATACACATTCCTCTAACCCCTAATAAAAAGCACAGTCCTCGATTTCCCTTGCGACATCCTGATGACCCTGCCAGGAAATCACAAATCAACAAGGCTGCCCTTGGATCACAGGAGCATCGCAGAGGAAAAGCATTCGGGCCGACCAGGACCAAACAGGTTCAGAGCCCTCAACGCCAGGGTCACGCCAAGCCGCCACAGAAATCCCCTAGACGCGCTCTCCTGAAAACTTGCGGGTTTCTTTCGCGGCGTTCCTGTCTGGCCCTGTCAACACGCCCTCCCCGGCAGCCGCCACCACCAGGTCCACGCGGGCCGGCTCCGGCTCCTCAGGCCCACGTCGGCCGGCGGGATGGCCACAAGCCCCAGAGGCGCGCCCGGGACGCGCCCCAGCCGCCGGCGGCCCGGCACTCGGCGGCCCGGGTTTGAGCCTTCCCTGGCCCCGGCGCAGTCCCGGGAGACGCGCCGCCCGTTCGGGGCTCGCTCGCCGCCCGCTGCGGTCTCGCTGTCGGTCGGCTTCAGACCCCTCGCCCGCTCGGCCCTCACCCGCGAGGCCGCGGCTGGCCCCTCAGGCGCTGGGGGCCAGAGCCCACCCAGCGGCGGTGACGAGCGCAGGTACACAAGCCGCAGCAGCCATCTTGGCACATCCGGCTCCGGCCGACGTGTCCGGCGCCGACGTCAGTGCGCGCCCCGCCCAGGCCCCGCCCCTCGGCTCGCCCAGTCTCTCACCGCCTCATCCTCTAGGCATGCCCCCGTAGCCCCGCCCCTAGCGCGTCGCTCCTTCACTACCCATCCTTCGTTACGCCCCCAGCCCCGCCCCACACCAGGGTCCAGTCTTTCATCACTTCGTCCCGCTCCCTGGCCCCGCCCCTTGCCAGCATCCGTCTTTCTCTGCCTCTCCCTTTTGTCACGCCCCTTTGGCCCCGCCCCTCATCGTCGTCCAATCTTTCACCGCCTCGCTCTTTCATCCCGCTCTTGGCCACACCCTTTACCCCGCCCCCGTGGCGCCAGGACTTCCCGCCCCATTCCCTTCGCCACACCCCCTTACCACGCCCCTCCCGCTACCGCCCCACCCCTTCGTCACGCCCGTGGCCCCGCCTCTCGCCCACCTATCCAGGCCTTACCCGCTGGGGTGGCCCCGGGACGTCTCCCTGGTTACGCCGGCTCTGTCATCCACTTTTTTCTCGATTTCTCTGAGAAAAGAGCATTTTTCAATCAAAACCCCAAGAGAGAATCAGTCAGAAGGAACGAAGCCAGCAGCTCCACCCACCGAGGACGGCTGCGCCGCGGATCCGGGAGCTCCAGAGTGGGCCCCGACGCTGGTGCATCCCTCCCCTTCTTCCGTTAGACTCGGCTGGAAGCCGGTGGGACGATTGCGCGTGCGCCACACCGCCTGCTCGGGTGGCCAGGCAGGCGCGGAAGCCTGACTGCGCACGCGCGCGCGCCGGCCGCGGCTGGTTGCCTGGTGACGCGGGAGCTTCGGCTCGGGTTCTGCGCTCCAGGCTGCTTAGGGCTAACCCGGCTCGTGAAGGTGGGCCTCCTTAGCGCTCTTGGCGGTGCTGTAGGACGCCCGCCGGCCCTCGGCCAGCAGCCCCCCGGGGGGCCCCGGAGCCTTGTGGCGCCCGGCCCGGCTGCAGCGTCCTCCCATGCCGCCCCGACCTGACTCCTCCCGGGCGAGGCGCGGTCCTCTCTGCGCCCTGAGTCGCAGTCCCCCAGACGGAGCGCGGAACCCGGCCGCCTAGCAGGGGGGCTCGTAGAACGCGAGATAGCCGGTGGCACGGTGAAGTCCCTGAGCGGGCCGCCCCCCGGCGGCTCCTCCCATCGCCTGCCGGGTGCCCAGCTCCAGCCCTCGGTGAGGATTTCGGGGAAGAGGCGGGGGCTCTGGTCTGTACCTTCATTTTCCCTATGGGCTTGACAGGGGGACAAGTACCACCCAGGCCTGGCCCGCTCACCTGCACTCCTGCCCTGGAGGACAGGACCCAGGATTCCCCCAGCTCCTTTTAGAGAACACCAGGATGGCACGTCCGCCCGCCCGCCCAGCTGTCCTCGGTGGGTGCAGTAGCCAGCGGCTAAAGCCCCTGGGTGAGAGGCCTCCTGGAAGAAGGAGGGAGTGTGATTCTGCTGCTTGTTTGCAGTGACGCTGGCAGAGGAGCAGCCAAGCAGGCAGAGCCTCCGGTGGTGCGGGGCGATTTTCAGCCCGGCTGACGTGGCACCCTGAGCCACTGGGCAAAGCTAACATTTGCCTTTCAGAGGCCAGGTTTCTAGCCTGTTTCAACAATGTGGGGACACGTGGTAGACAGCCCTGGGCCCCTAGCAGAGACATCGAGGACCAGACCCCCCTTTGTGACCCACTTCTTCCCAGTGGGCAAGGCACTTTGTGGCTATTTTGTCCCAATAGACCCCTGGACAGAGAGGTGTCACTCTGACAGGAGGGACAAGGCCAACAATCCCAGGCTTAAGTTGCATTTAAAGAGCCCTAGAGCCTGTGTCTTGAGAAGGCTTGTGCCCTACCCTGGTGACTCTAACCTAGAAAGGAGATGAACTGCAGAATTCAGCTCTGCCCAGACCCCAGGGCAAAGACTAGTAAGAGAGACAGTTGTATTGATTCTTACCTAGTAGCTTACAGGGGCTTTGGGGCTGTTCTCTCTCCCTCCTCCTTCCAAAGTGGGCTCTCTGTACCCTGGTGTCTACACTAGCCCATCAGGCCTCTGGGCTATGAACTAGGGCCTGAGGTCACAACCCAGACTGCACCTAGATGCTCTATGCCTTTGTCAGTTTCCTTATTCTCTCTGAGCACTGGAATTTTCTATAAGGGGAAGCAGTGAGCACCTGGCAGTTTGGGGACTGAAATGGGATACCAGGACAACAGGCTCGAGCAGGGACTGTCTGGGGCCAATGGGGCATAGAGTGTCAGGCTGCCAACAAATGGGGCCCTTGCCAAGGAGCTGCTTGCCCAGGGTAGCCATCCCTACTCCTGGTTAGGCCTCCTTCTGCTTGTCTGCAGTGTCCCCTGGTCCCCTTTCCCAACACTCCTCCATGCTTGGAGGTTGGACACACATCTCTATCTTCCTGTAGTCTCCCATGTGGGCTGGATGGCAGCTGGCAGAAGGCTCCTGACTGCAGAGCACACAGCACAGGGCTGTGTCAAGGTCATCACAGAATCCTGACCTGGGCAGCCTCTTCCTCCAGCTGTGCTGCTCAGCATGGTGGCCGCTGGATACTTAACATGTGGCTGATCCACACCAAGCTAGGCTGAATGTGAGGTGCACATGTGAGATAACATGTGGCTGATCCACACCAAGCTGGGCTGAGCGTGAGATTGTAAAGAATACAAAGTATTTTATTGGCTTAAGTTGCATTTAAAGAGCCCTGGAGCCTGTGTCTTGAGACTTTGGTTGCTTTCTATTGCCAGTTGAATGATATATGGACATATTGGATTAATATATGAAAATTTATTTTACCTGTTTCTTTTGTTATTGTTCTTTCTTTCTTTTTAAATATAACTACTAAGAAGTGTGAAATTCTGTGTGTGGCTAGCATTATGTTTCTACTGAACAGTGCTGGTCTGGACTGCAGGTGTTAGGTGGGGTGAGGGCCCCTACTCAGCATCTCCAGCCTGAGCTTGTAGCCTCCTAGAAATGAGCTGCCATATGGAACTGGCAGGCAGGGGCAGTCCTCCAGGGGATGCTGGAAGGAGAGGCAGCAGTCCCATGAAGGTGGGTGGTCCCTGGCCATGAGCCCCTGCTCTTTAGTTCTTCTAGGTGTAGAGTCAGCCTCAAGTGTGAGTGGGGATTTCATAGTAGGCCTGCTTTGCAGCTGGCACTGCACTTAGCCCCTGGTGCAGATCCCGTCCTGGACATGAAAGCTGGAGGAGAGAGGAAGGGGATAGGGCTGACTGAGTGGTCCAGGTCCAAAGCATATTAGGACCTCATGGTGGGTCTGGCTGGCAGGGAGGGCTTTCTGGAGGAGGAGGAGGCAGGAAGTGGAGTTGGTCATACCTTTGTTGTGTTGTGTGGCTTCTATTTATGGGCCTTGCAGTGTGTAGGCTCTGGGTGGCCATTATGTGACCAGATCAGGTGTGAGGAGAGGGTGGCCACAGGTCCATGAGGGTGAGGCAAAGTCCTGGGGACCATGGTGGGCAGCATGGAAGGACCCTCAGGCCTACTGCCCTTTTCCACACATTCACAGCCATGAGGACATCAGAGCGTGGCTCAGTCTCCCTGGACAGATGCCACCATGTCAGCATTCCTCTCACAGTGTCAGTAGCATCTGAGCCCTGTGTGTCATTGTTGGGGGCATGGAGCAAGATCACATGACTATCTGCTCTTGCAGGTTTTTCTAGAGCTGACCTGTGGCCAAAGGGTACCCATAGAGGCCTGGCCAATGCTGGGAATCAGGCCCCACAGCCCCTCCTCCCAGCAGAGGTGGGCCCTTCACTGTGGGGCGTCCCCTGGCTGGCAGAGCACAGGTAAAACGGCTTGAGCAATGGCTGGCTGCTGTGTCCAGTGGCACTGTGAGCTTTCAGAAGCCAGAGGCCCTTGGCCATCTCCCAGATGTACAGTCTTGGGCTCCCTGGCCTCCCAAGTCTCTGTTTCCTCACCTGTAAACAGGTGGGGATCATGCCCTGTCCTAGGCTGCCTCCAAGGGCTTCTGGAACTCTCCTCACACGGTGGCAAAGGAGAAATCACAGCGAAGGTACGGGCAGGCAGAGACCAGGGAGAACTGTCTGGCATCTCTCAGCTGCAGCAGGTCTGGAAAAAGCGGGGAGACTTCCTTCTGGACTGAACCCTTGCTACTTGCCAGGCACTGCTGGGCCTGGGCTTGGCTGGAGAGGTGAGGCATGGACAGCACAGACACTTGGTGGCTGCAGATATGCCAGTGGCATAGGGGGCCTTGTGAAGCACCTGTTGGAGCAGGGGCAGGAGTGACATTCTATGTGGAGCTGTTTCTTCACGCACGGCCAGGAGGTGCGGCCTGGTGGGGTGGGGCTCTGCAGTCTTGTTAAGAGATTTGCATGGGATATTTGGAAACTGGAATCTTCCTGGGGCTTCTGAGTCACACATGATCATTGATTTGCCTTCCAGAAGGCTCTGCAGTGATGTAGGGAGGCCGGAGTCCTGGAGGCAGCCTTGGGTGCCTGAGACGAGCAGAAGAGTTGCATGGGGCAGACAGGTGGGAAGAGCCGACTCTGGATGAACCCCCTGGACAGGAACCCAGCTTAACTTGCTCAGCATCCACAGCACCCTCAGCCACTGCATCTGTCCAGCAGATAAGCACAACTAACAGCAAGGCCAGAGACTTCTGCAGCCTGGGAGGCAGTGTAAGATGCAGGCCCGGATTGGTGGACCAAGGATCTGAGAAAGGGCCTCAGTGGAGCAGCTACAGGGTTGAAATTCTGCCTTGTACCTAGCTGTAGGCTGGCTCTTGCCCAGTGTCCTGCCAGCCCCTCTCCTGAGAGCAGTTGCCCAGTATACAGCAGCTGGGCTAGGCACCGTGGCTCCTTGAGCCCAAGAGGAGTGACCCCTGCCACAGACCCCAGAGGCTCACAGCCCTCACATGAATGGGTGACCTTGAGCAAGTTACCCACCCCATTGAGCCTCAGCTTCCTTGTCCTTAAAATGGGTGATAGTACTGCTTCAGGGATGGCACATGGAAGGTCCCAGTACCTCCCTCTGCATGCCAAAGGGCACTGACACAAGACTGTCAGCAGGGGGAGGCAGAGAGCCACCTCCAGGAGGCTGGGCTAGGCAGCCCAAAGCCTTTGGGAGCGCTGGGCCCACCCTGCCCCACTGCAGCCAGAAGAAGCCCCTCTCCCTCAAGGGGGTGGGACCCCCGGAAGTGCACAGCAGTCATGAGGGAGGAGGCCCACGGAGGCGGGTGGGCAACTTGGGTTGACGTGTTCAGAGTGCAAGTTGCCAGGCCCCTGTGGTATGGCCTCCCCCAGGAGAGAAGGGGACAGTGCCTGGGGCTGCTTCTTCAAGCAGCTTGTCCCCATGCATCCTCATGTACTCTGGGTTTAGTCCTTGTGATATTTCTGCTAGGAGATGGGCAAGGCCTGATGGCTAGCATGCCCATCCTAATGCCAGAAGCCCCGGCTTAGAGACCTCGTCTCTCTCCTCTCCAGGTCCTCCATTCGCCAGGAGCTCTGATGACTTTGGGAGCAGACAGGTTCTTAAGAGCAGCAGGGCCCCTGAGGCCTGTCCTTGCATCCATGGGACAAACTTCATGGAGCGCATACACTGCTGGAGGCTGCTCTCTTTTGGGAACAATGTATTGTGCCAGGCATGGTGTCCACCCTGTGATCTCAACTGCTCAGGAAGCTGAGGCAGGAGGATCACAGGCTCAAGTCAACAGCTTAGTCAGACTGTCTCAACATAAAAAAGAAAAAGGGCTAGAGTTGTGGCTCAGTGGTAGAGCACCCCTGGATTCACTGCCTTGTGCTACAAAAATGAGTAAAAAAATATTGTTTTGTGGGGAGACCCACAGAACGTAAGGTGAACCGTGCTGCGCAGTCGAGGCGCTGTACCACCCCCTCCACCGCAGCCTCCTGTCACCCCAAAGCCAGACAAGAGCTATCAAGCAGTCCCTCCCGCTCCTCCACCGTGGGAGCTGCCCCCCATCAGGTGGTCTTTGTCACAGCTCCCTTCACTAGCCACAGTGTCTCAGGTTTCATCCATGTTGTAGCAGGTGTCAGAGCTCCGTCCCTTTCTATGGTTAGATGATATTCCACTGTATTTTTATTGGTTTGGTTGTCCAGAGAACAGACCCATGGGATGTACACACAGAGGGAAAGAGATTGCTCATAGGAACTGATGCATGCTGACAAGTCCCAAGAGCTGTCCTCAGCAAGTCAGAGGCCTGGGAAAGGTGCTGCGATGGCTTTCAGTCCAAAGCTGGCAGGAGTCTGGAGTCTGTGGGAAGAAAGCGGTGTGGCTCAGCAGCTGGTGCTGAGCTTCTTACTCTGCCTTTGATCTACTCATGCCTTTAGCTGATTGGATGAAGCCCACCCACATTGGGGAGGGCCCTGTTTTTCCTCCTCTACAAATGTAAACATCAGTCACCCTCAGACATACCTTCAGGGACACACTTGGAATGTATGCCAAATGGCCCAGCCAAATTGACACCTAGGATTTCCCAGCACAGCAAGGACAGACTACATGCTGTTTGCATCCCTTAACTGACACTAGACACCTAGCTGTCTGCGCTGGTGTGGACACAGCTGCAGAGAGCACACGCCAAGAAGTGGAATTTCTGGGTCTGGGTCCTGGGAATTCTTTGGGCAGAGTTCAGGCTGAGTCCTCCCTCTGGAAAATGAGAATCAGACCACTTGCCACAATTCTGAATGTGGCACCCCTTCCAAGAACCTCCCACTCTCACTCTTCTGGTGGGCAGCACAGTGCCCAGAAGGGACAGGGCATCCCAACATGGTGGGGAAACCTTGGGCTCACGCTTGTTCTCTGAGAGCCAGGCCCAGGATGGGCAGCACTTGGCAGTCTAAGAGGGAACGTAGCTTTGGTCTGTGACTCCCTCAAGGTGTGGGCCAGTGCAGTTTAACCTTCCCTTCTCCAGCATTCTTTCTGGAATTTGAAAAGAAATCAATAAATAAGGGCAGAAGGGAGCTTGCACTGTGCTGGGCGCTGCACCCCTGGGTACCTGACATGCTGCCCCTACTGCCCACCAGCACACCCCTTCTGGTCCCACAGGGCTTTCCAGACTCACAGGCCATATCCACACCGCCCACGCAGACATGCTGTGGCTTCCATGGGTCTTCCTTGGGGCTACAGTCCTCACTGGGGCCATAAGACCCCTCCTCACATCCCCCCTACCTGCCGCAGGACTCCCTGGACTGTCCCCAGGATGGACAAGGTGAGGGAAGAGCTGGTGGGGACTCCTGCCCAGGGTGTTCCCTCCAACAGGCTACCTATGCCTTGCTGGCAGCCAGGTCCCCACCTCCACCAGCACCTGGCCTCGGCGGGGGCTGACACCCATGGGGTCTACAGATGGTGTGGTCCCCAGTTCCCCTGTGGGCCATGACTGGACTCTCCTGTCAGAAAGACCCAAAGACTCCTGGCTATCTCCAAACAGGACAGCCCCAAGAAAGCGAGTCAGATGACACCAAGTTTAGCAAAATCTGGATGACCTAATGGTCATCATTTTTATTGCAAATCGGTTAACAAAAGATGAAAAAAAATACATAATTTCCATCATCTACAGTTCTGCATGTAGATAACTTTTTCAAAGTTTCCTTTTTCTGTAAACTACACTCTATTTTATAAAACAGTAAGAATCAACATCTTAGGGCGTGTCTGGTCATGCCCACTACGGATGGTACAACACTGTCCTCCGAAAAGCCAAAGGAGCGCCCTGAGGAGGTAGGCACCTGCCATGGGCAAGCCCCCACACACTCGGGAAATGGGCAGGGGCTGGGGGCGACCCAGGGCCATCCCTGGGTTGTGCTCTTAGGAGCTACGGTTCCGGCAGCTGCAGGTCATGTGGCCTGGGCCACATTCTGACATCCCTCATCATCTGACACAAAACAGACTTGTTCCATTAGATTTTTTAAACAAAATCCATCTTTAAAAACATATTTACAGACATTACTCTGCCACAGGCGTATACTCCATACTGTAAGGATCTGCTGCTCCCCTGGACAACGTCCCCCTGAACCGGGGGAGTGCCCCAGAGCAGGCTCTACCTGGCCCTCCAGACACCCCCAGGGCTGGACACAGATTGCCTACCCCTGGCAGACAGGGATGCTGGAAGAGAACTGGTGGACACCAGCCCTCTGGAAGTCTCCAGACACGGGAGCCTTCAGCAGTGGAGTCTGTCCTCTGCTGAAAGTGGATCATGCTGCTCAAGGTAAGGGACTGGGGCCCTATCAGGATGGCCCATGCAGTGTCCTTCCCCAGAAGAGGGTAGGACCCCTCCACGTGGCCTCCAGTGGGCACCACGCTCCACAGGTGGACGGCTGCTCCATGTGACACCTCAATGTCAGGAAGGGGCTGGTGGGAATGGGAACTTGCAAGACCAGTGACTACTAGGAACACTGACCCTGAACAAAGATTCACGACTGATACCATGGAAGATTCCCGGGACCACAGCTTTCAAAGCGTGTTTAGACCCATCACTAAAAATACCAAGACAGTGGACCACATCATTTACTTAAGTTTCTTGTTTCAGATACAGATTAGCCCACATGCCCAAGGCGCCAAGGTCCTGCCTTAGTTCCCTCTAGACCCAATTTCTCACCAGACACAGGGGACACTGGGAGGGGGAGGGCAGGGCTGGTGGGCCCCTAGGAAAGGCCGGGTACCCTGAGGACTCTGGACAGCGCAGTTCAAACCTCCTTGCTCCAGCATTCTTTTTGGAATTTGAAAAGAAATCAATAAATAAATGGCACTTATAAATCATGAATCTTTGCTTATATTTTATAAACATGTAAGGATCTTTACCCTAAGTAGGAAAATCATGTCTCTAAGAACTAGTTTATTTCCTTGGAACACAAAAGTTTTTACCTGGTGCCATAGAAAACAGTACATATAAATAAAAAGGCAGTGTTTCTGTGTAAAATAAAAGTACATAAATAAATACTAAAAAAAATGAAATTCTTGTTCTTATTTTGTATAAAAACATTTTTTTTTTAAAGGCTCCTTTGGTTGGCCCCAGCATCCTGGAGCACTGGACACACCCGGCAGGGCTTGGGAAAGGAAGCTGGGGTCCCGTGGGCGCGGCTGTTTACTTGAACGCCTCTGGAATGTGGGTGACCTGGGATTGCATGGTGGTGGGCGGGCTGGAGATGCCCTCGGACCAATCAGAGATGTTGGAATGTGGCGACGAGCTGGACCACTGATCGGGGGACTCTGGGGACGGGGTGAGGAAGGGATGCTCGGGCACCTGCAGCTGGTGGCTGGGGGTATTGTCCACAGGCGAGGAGGAGTAGCTGTGCTGGGAGGGTGGGGTCAGGAACTGGGTAGTGGTCATGGGCGGGACCAGTGAGGATGGCAGTGAGGTGGGCAAGGCCTGGCTCTCCTGGGGCAGGATGGTGTGCACCGTCAGGTTGCCGGGGCCCAATGGCTGCACATCCTGGCTCGGCTCCCCTCCCAGGAGGCTCCGACCCAGCTGGCCACTGGCTGCTGTGCCCACACCCAGGTGTGGCTGCGCAGGTGGCTGCAGGCTCTGGGGTTGCTGCATGTCTGGCATCTGCAGGTTCTGTTGCTGCATCTGCAAGTTTTGCTGCGGCACCTGCTGGGGCTGCACCAGGTGAGGCTGGGTGGCATGCCGTGCACTGGGCAGGCCCTGATAGCTCATCATCTGGGACAGTGCGCTGGCAGAGAGACTGCCGGGCAGTGAGCCCATCATGGTGTGCTGGAGAGCGGGGGCCTGTGTGCTCAGCGTGCTGGGTGCCACCGCCCCTCTCAGCGGGTTGTACTGGCTGGGCACCATGCCACTCTGCAGCCGGGAGAGCCACTCACATTGGCCATTCAAGCCTGCAGCCCCGCCCACAGTGAAATTCACAGCCCCTGTGCTGCTGGCACCCAGGATCGTGCCAGTGCTGGAGGCCACAGGCAAGTGGGAGAGCCGTGGGGGGCCAGGCTCAAAGGCCAGCCGGCTGCCCCCACCCAGCGCTGCCATCTCAGGCTTGGCCGCCACATTCAGATGGCTGATGCCCAGGTGGGCATCAGGCATGCCGGGCAGGTGGTTAAGCGGCATGGATGGAGATTGCTGGAAGGGGGAGGGCAGGAGGGGTGGCGAGGCCACGTCCGACAGGTAGCCATGCGGTGACTCGAGGGAGTCCACTGGCGACAGCATGCTGGAGCTGTCCAGCAGGCAGCCCTTGCCGTCCTGGGACTTCTTCCTGCGTGCCTTGAGGTCCCTGGCCTCCTTGCTGCCACAGGCTGGGCCTTTGGTGCTAGGTTTTCGGGCCTTCTTGCCCTGCACACTGGGCTTGAGGTTGCCCAGGTAGCCACTGGGCGAGCAGAGGGTGGGCGACAGGCGGGGTGTGCTGCCCAGGGCGGCCCCGTGTAGCTGGGGGCTGCGCACCAGGTTGTGCTCATCCAGCAGCCGCACGATGTCATGGTGCATGCGCTCCTGTGCGATGTCCCGAGGCAGGCGGTCCATGTGGTCGGTGATGTCCCGGTTAGCAAAGTGGTCCAGCAGCACCTTGGCGGTCTCATAGCTGCCCTCCCGGGCGGCCAGGAACAAAGGCGTCTCTTCCTGGGGACATGCAGAAGGCAGGTGAGGGGCTGGCTGATGTGGATGGCCACCTGCACATCCCAGGGGTTGGGAGCCCATGCAGACCCCACTCCTGCCAGCACCATACCATGACCTGCCCTCATTGCTGACCCTTTTATTGGGGAGAAGCCATTCAAATGAGGCAAGGGGTCAGGTGTCAGGGGGCTTTGTGTCTGCTGTCAGCAGGCTGACTGACATCCAGGGAGGCCCACCCAAAGGCAGAGCAAGAGAAGGGGACACACAAAGGGCATTTCCATGGAACATTCTATCCCAAACAGGACAAAGGGGTAGTATCAGAAAGGAATAGGTGAGCGTAGCTCCTGAAGACACGCCTTCTACTTCCTGGGCTGGGATAACGCCCAAGTCACCACAAAATGTAGTGATCAGCCAGAGCCTCTTGCTTCAGGATGGAAGTCGTGGGTCATTCAGAGTGGCTCCCCACACTGATTCTTTTCTAAAACCTTAGATGACATGTCATCTGGCATCCACCCAGAGAGGGTCTGTGGGGTCCTCTACTCCTAAGTATGTAGGCCTTCATCTGCACAGTGGGGTCACAACCCCACTAAAAATCTAATAAACTGTGGGCCCGGTCTCCCTCCTTTAAATCTGCAGATGTGAAATACTGCAGTGATTGGCTTGGGGTCCCTGAAGTGCATCCGTGGCCTAGGTAAGGAGCTTCCTCTGTCAGCCCTGGCATCTCAGCCCTTTCCTAGCCTACTCTGCCCAGTGGATGAGCCATTTGCCTGAGAGGCTGCTGTGCAGGGAGTGAAAAGGGGCCCAAGGCCTGGTGCCCAGCAGCCAGTCCCTCAGTCTCTGGGGTTCTGTTCCTCCCATGGGACAGACCAGATCATGCTACCAGCCCTGGACTGGGAGCACCTGGGCCTGAAGCATTCCCTGGTGCCTGACGCCTGCTGTGACTCCCTCACCCAAGAGAGGCCCTGGCTTGAGATGTAGCTGGGGTCACCTGGAGTCAGGGCACAGGAGGCAGAGGCTCTGCCCTTTATGCCCAAGGGCCCAGAGGAACCCAAACACAGTCAGCAGACAACTGAGGAGTCCTGGGAGACAGTTGGGCTGCAGCAGAGAGGAAAAGCCAGGCCTGCGCAGCACCGTCTCCCCAGTCTCAGGGCAGTGGGTGGGGTCACCTCTGCACCTAGAAGCCTGGCCAGGCACAGAGCCACCCACCTCAACCCCTCAGCTGCACTGGTGTCACCATGCCTCCATGACAGCAGAGGTGAGGCCCAGGTAGCGCTGACAGAGGCTCATAGCAGCACCTCCCCCATGCAGGGCAGGACCCCCTAGTTTGCTGCAGCTCCACCCCGACTTGGGAGGAAGTCAGGAGAGTAGCCACGTGCTGGCTCCTGCTGGGCGGTTGTGCGCCTGTGCCAGGAGTTCCCACCACAGTCCTGAGACCAGCTCTCGCCTCACCTTGTTGTTCTGCATGTCCTTGTTGGCCCCATTCTTTAGGAGCACAATGGCGGCATCCACGTTGTTCACAGCAGCAGCCCAGTGCAGGGCCGACTTGCCTGGGGGAGCAGACAGAGAGAGTCAGGAGCAGCCTAGGCAGCGGCCCTGCCCTGTCCAGGCAGCTGGGCTACAGCCTGGCCTACCCAGGTCATCCACGGCGTTGACATCCGCGTGAGAGTTGATGAGATCCTCCAGCATGCCCTCCACAGCCAGGCGGGCAGCTAGGATCAAGGGAGTGGTGCCATCATGCATGCGGGCGTCCAGGTCTGTGGCTCGGTTCCGGATCAGGATCTGGACACAAGGGAGGATTCAAGCAGGGGCATCACAAACATGAGCCTGATGTCTCTGGCTAGGGACTGATGCCTAGACCAGGGCCAGCTACCCTCCCAGAGTCAACAAGGCCACCCCTGGACCTGAATGGTCCTAGAACCATGGGACAGTGTGAAGCTGTACTTGAGGTAG